ACGGGGACGGGGACCACCGCCTCGGGCAGGAGAGCGCCACCCCCGCCCCGATCGTGCGCACAGACGGCGGTGGACGGACGCGCTCCGGCACAGGCAGCGTCGCCTTTATTGCAGCAGGGTCGGGTGTCACCGTGCAGGTACCTCAGCAGCCAGCCATCTACTGGGCGGGCGCGCGGTCGGTATATGCTTGGGCAGTCTCAAACCATGTCCTCTCTACAGCTTCTTGGCCCATCTCAAACATTGTCATTAAGTGTTTCCATCCAGTTTTGGCCGTGATCATGAGGTATTCCTTATTCTCTGGGTACAGCAGAGCCGTGTGGGCTGCTATGACGAGGGACTGGGAAAACCTCCCGCTCACCAAGAGAAAGAGGGCACCCCTCTCCTCCTCTGTGAGGGGCAGGACGCTCTCAAACCCCGCCAGAACATGCCCTCCAACACTCAGAGGATCGGGGCTCTCGATCATCATGTACATGATGGCTATTGCCACTTCAAATACATAGTAACCGTAACTCATGTCACCAAAATCCAGGATGCCAGACACCCTGTACTGAGGATTCTCCAGGGAAGCAGAACTGCAGTCTACTAGAATGTTGTGGTCATTAAGATCTCCGTGATTGATACCTAAACACAGAATAAATAGAAACAGTATTTAGTAAACAGCAAAATCTAGCTTTTCCCCCCTGCCCCCCAGTGAAACAGCTTTGAAAAGATGCACAGAGGCTCAAACTAACACTCAACTACCAAACCATACTAGTCTCCCTCAGCATCAAGCATTGCCTTTCACAGCCTTGCTGCTTCCGAGGAACCTCCATTCCACAAAAAAGTGACGAGCGAGCAACTGCTCAAGGGAGCGTTACCAGATCTCATTCTGGGCTGGTACTTCCTGTGATGTGCTACATGTTTTCCAAATGCAGAATAGCAGTTTTCAAATTATCAAACAATCCTCCTGGCTTATTCTGCACTGTGTTCATTCAGCACAATATTTGCACATGTGTAACTAGGGATAAAGGAGATAACTTTTTTTTTTTTGCTTTTTTTTGCCTTCTCCACAGACCCAAACTCCTGTAAGAAATGTCAGTGTCTCAGTTCAACATAATTACAATGAGAATAAAATACTCACAGGCTCGAAAACTGCTTAGCTTGGGTATTACTTCCCCTTTAAACTGCTCAATAACTTTTTCCACAACTTCACGGTATTTGTTCTGGCCCAAGGCATAAATGTACTGATCTAGAAGGGGAACGTTTGCCAGGTTCCAAATGAACTGACCACGATGCAGACTTTTTACTGATGGATGATGGAATTTCTTTGGAAAAAGCACAAGATAAAATAGGCCATAAGTAAAAATCCTGGGTTTATGATTAAAGGGCTTGATTCAAAGCCCCCATTAACTTTGACAGGTTCCTAATGAGACTCACTGAAAAGAACCATGATTTTGACTGTTGCTTTGTATCAACAAGTAAAAGAATAACCCAAAGAATCATTAAGGCAAGCGTGTTGATATCTACATACAACCTGAATGTTTTTTTCCCCACTCTTCAGGTAAAAAGATTATCTTAAGTCATTCATCACTTAAATAATTTAAAATTGATACTGACTTTCTATAACGTGCCATTATGTAGCGCCTTTGAGGCCCTGCCAAGGCCAGAGTCCCACACTGGCAGAGCCTGGATGGCACAGAAACCTGCCAGAGCAGAAGAGGCACAAAACCTGCCAACGTGCCAGCAACAGGCACACTCTCTGCATTTAAAGGTGGCAGCTTCTGGGGACAGACAAGCCTTAGGATCAGCTCGTAAATGAAAAATCCTGAGGACAGAAATACTATATTCTTATGAAAGTTTGCCTTTGTACATCTAGGTGGCCTAAATATTTCAAAAAAACCCAAGGTCCCTAACTTCTTTCTCACTAGCAAATGAAAAGGGGGGGTTGGAAAGTGATATTTAGGGAGGAAAAGCATCTTTCCCACTGCATACCACACTTATCCTTGAATCCTTTACTGCTTATTAAGGCAGCTTGTGGGCTGCATTCTACCAGTGCATAGGGCAAATAAAAACAGCTTCCACAAGAGTAGCTGGCGTCCTCTTAAAAAGAAACCCATGCTTGTAATTAAGGCTCTTAAAGACAGTTAAATCATAGTCAATACTGGAACCCTGTATGAAAAAGTAAGGAACAAGATGAAGCCTAAACCAAAAATCACAATACAGGATCCCTAGTGCTGTGTAAAGCACCACATTGGTAGGGAGAATGCCTTCTGATAAGCAACATCTGCAATCTTCCCAGCGCAAATCAGATATTCCAGCAAGCTATAAATGGGTTACCAGGTGTGTGAAGGGTAATAAAAAGTCACGAGCCCTTTGTTACTGTAAAGCCATAGACAGTCACTTTACAGCCATAAACTTATTTCCATTCAAAGGATGTGAGGCACATCCAAGCAAAAGGAGACTCCAACAGAGAAAGTGGGAGAATACTATTTTGTGCACAAAAAAAACCATGGCAAAGTAAATTAACTGGCTAGAAAAGACAGGCTGTATTTTCTGATCTGTCATCAGAAAATTTAATGCCTTAGGTTTTTTAATGTCAATGATATTTTGAAATTTGACAGTAATGACTGTAATTTTCTTTCTTTTAAATGACAAACCTTGGTAGATGATAATCCATGTTAAGGGCATAAAGAGCCTGCGCCATCAAAATTTGCTTTCTCATCAACTGTTTCCTCCTTGGCAGGACAAATCACAGGCACATTTTGAGACTAGCTGGTCTATATAAATTGTTTTAATCGCATTATAAGAGCATGACCAGTGTTGGAAAGCAGCAGTAAATTATCTTTCCCAATTGAAAAATGGTCTTGTAATTTAAGAATGTGGTTAGTAAAGCTGGCAGTTCACATTTCATAATTGTCTAAAGCCGCTAGCCACAACTTTGAGAAGGAAAGGTTAATGAAAGGCAATAAATAATGCAAGAGTTCTTTTATGTATCTAACTTAATTACAGGCTGATTTATCAGCTTTATTATCCTATATAATTACAGAGTAAAGAAAGAACTTTCACTTTGCATTAAGATTATTTGACTGGAAGTGGTGCAAATCAGAGAAGTGTCACAAATCTCTGTTCATTAGCACAGCTGGCATTGTAGAGAAGGAACCAACGGCTACCAATGTTAAATGGTCCTAGTTCTAATAACCAGGAGAAAGACAGCAAGTCAAAATGAACTCAAAATAATAGATCAGCCAGCTCTGCCTGGTGTGTATTATTCAAAAATGCTTTAAAACAAGCTTTACATACTTATAATTTGGGCAGCCTAGGGTTCACTGTCCTTATTTGCCGGGTTTGAAGAACCAAACAGGTGAGTTTTGCATGAGTAAAAAGAAATCCTTATCTCCCTGTTCATTCTGTGAAAATGCTTTGCCAAAAGGATCCCCAATACCAAGCCATAAGCACCAACTGGGGACGTTTACTTGGGGAAATGCTTTAGTAACAGCCAGCTTGGAAGTTGGCACCTGAAAGATGAGTTAATCCGCATTCACCAACCTGAATTTTGCAGATCAGGAAAGCAGACAGCAAGCACAAGAAGAAATACAGAGGAGAAATTGAGGAAGAAGTTTGTGAGCCCAGAGCAATGAAAACTCACCTCTGAGAGAGCTTTATCCAAACTGGCAGCCAGCTTACCGACCTCATAGAAAATCTGAGCATTTGTAGTAATTTTTGCTACCGGCTTGCCTGGCAGGTAGGTCAGCAGTCTGACCATGTACTTTTTGTTCCCAGGTCCAGTACCTGACAAGCAAAGAGAGATGCAGTCAGTCATTTCGATATATGCTATGGAGTATTAGTTAATGCAAGGCGCAAAAAAGGTTTATCCCAGTGCAGAAGTCATCAGATGTAGCTGATAAACAGATTTCATTCAAACATTTGATTTACCAGAATGTTGTACGATGATGTGCAAACCTTAACACACTTGCAATCTGTGCTGGATGTCTCATCCTTGTGCCTGGGACTGACCCTGCACACAGCAGGTTCCCTCCAGTGCCTGTAGGCAGCCGCTCACGCAGCTTTGCAGCAGAACAGGTGGTCTCAGGAACCCCAGCTTTTGTATGGAAGTGACAGTGAAAATAAAAGCAAAATGTCAACACAATCTTTCTTCCAAGTGCTGTTAAAGCAATTTGTTCTGGCACCATAGATAGGCTAGAACAGTATTTTACACCATTCTGTAGGCAAATAACTTGTAACATCATTTAGGGAATGAGGCTTTTTTTCCCTCCTCTTCTTATGCACAGACAGGTCGGATCAGTGTTTTCTCCAATTCATTATACTGAAGTTATTTCCTAAGTGTTTTCAGAGTTAATTATTACTCTCTTTGACTTGCTTTGCTTCTGGTGTTTTAAGTTTGGACTGTTATGGCTAGGCATACAGGTCACCTGATATCTCCTAAGAGTTAAAAACAAGCCTAGAGTTCGACTTTAGTGCATACACGGCATGCCATATAGCAAGCTGAGGGTGATAGCAGGGCAGTAAAGGTGCTCGTAATTGCTCACCTACTGACTCCAGAGACATGATGTTACCATCTCTTGTAAGACAAGGGGTAGCTGAAGGAAAGCCTTCAGCGCTGAGAAACATCATGGCCTGGGTCTGTGCTTCAATGAGGTCAGGCTCCTGGCTGTCTTCCGAATTGGTGATTTTGAGCACATACTCATCAGCGCCTTCAGCCGCACCTTTGTTTCTTGAAACGCGCACGTGGAAATTCTGATCGTCGTAGCTGGGGAGTGGCCCGATCCAAGACACCTTTAATCCAAACACCCTGTCAACCAATTCCATCGCTTCTTTTTCACCAAGTGCCGGTTTGGTGAATGTCTGAAGTTGACAGTTGTTTCCAGAAGACATTGTGTCTCTAGGAGAGAAAGAGAAGCTGGATGATCTTCTCTGTATCTGGCATCAGAAACTGTAATTACTACAACAAAATGCATTCGGATACCAGAGAGGAGTTTCCTACGTTTATGAAACAAGCAAAGAACACCCACTAAGCCAGTCCTGGTTTCTTATATCACAGCTTCTCGTCAACTACTTAGTCTGTAGCCACCCCCAAAAGGGTCTTCTATGGAGGTGCACTCAGTCTGTTCAGAACAAGTAAACATGAAAAGCTTATTAATTAGGAGTATTTTTACTAACTAATTTCCAGGAGCAGCCTAACCTGGTATGTTGCTAACCAGGAATGATCTCCTAAGGGACAGGGTTGCTGAGTGCCTGTCCAGGAATTTCTAAATTCACGTCTGCAAAAAACAAGAAAGGTTGTAGCAGATGTTAGCGTTAAAGTAGCTGTAATCCTCAGCACTCCCGCCTTAGGACAGGCAGAACGAACCCACAGACGCTCGCCCGGCTCCGGCCCGCTCCAGCTCGGCACGGCCGAGCGACCCTTGGACCCCGCGGGCGCCGCCGAACCTTTGTCCCGCCCGGCGCT